TCAGAGAACAATAGAGACGCTCCCCCCACACCCCCCCAGAGAACAATGAATCCCCCTTTCCCCATCCCGAACAATAGGAACCTCCCCGGATCAAGGAGCGCCCCCGGGGATGGGGGCTTGGGGGCAGTTCTGCCCTTTGGTGACTCCTGCCCTGTGCCAGTGAGTTGGGCTGAGCCACCTGTGGAATGAATCCAGGTGGGCTCAGCCTGGCAGGATGAGGTGGCCGGAGGGCTCCGTCCCCATCCCGTCCCCACAATGGGGACAAAACCCCGTCCTCACAGCAGGAAGTTCTGCTTCCTCCTGGCCGCGGGATCATCTCGAGGCGATGTTGGCCGCGATGCCGGGGAAGCCGGCAGCTCCGGCACCAGGATGCTGCGGGATCGACCCCTTCCCGCTCCCATGCTGCCCTGTCTGCCCTGCTTGGAGCCCCAGGAAGGGTCCAAGAGCAGCACTTGGAGCAGGGATTCCCATTGAGAGCAGGAGCGGGGAGGGAAAATTCCCCCCRAAAGCCCCGATCCAGGAGCCTCCTCAGCGAGGCCGCGTCCGGAGCGCCCCGCGCCAGGCGCTTCCCGGGCACCACAGGGTTAATCCCGCTGGCAATTCACTGGGGCAATTTGGGCTGGCGCCGAGGCTCCCGCTAGCCCTGCAGCACAGGGGGGAGCAGCCAGACCCACCTCATCCCGGCACCGCGACCTGCAGCCGGATCCCCCGGAGCCGCCGGGGCCGCGTGAGCGCCGGGACCAGCGTCCTGCTCGCCCGCTCCTGCTGCAGCCCCCAGGCTCTTCCTCACCCCTTTGCACCCAAATCCATGCAGGAAAAATGCCCTAAAGAGAAGGGCGGCAGAGGGAAGCGCGGGGACCGGCGGCTCCGCGCCCCGAGTGTCGCTTGCGGCGCTTTAAGCGCCTTTCTCCTCGCAGCACTCGCCTTTTGTTCCCCTCTTTTGCTCTTTCTGGGATCTTTTTTTTCCCCTCTCCCCATCCAAGCCTTTTGCAGATCTTAATAAGTTCCGAATTGCTCTTGGCCGTTTTTTATCGGCGGGTTTCTCCTTCGCTTTCCYGGCCACTTAAAACACCGATACAAAACTAAAATGAAACCCGGCCRTTGGCAAGAGAAGCGCAAACGTCCCCAACACCTTGGAAATGTGGTTTTACTTTGTAGCGTTACTTAGCACCTGATCAGTGTTATTTTATTATTTTTCTTTTTTTAATAGGAAAGCAGTAAACCTTCCAGCAGGTATTTGGGGCTGGGAGCTGCACATTCCTCCCGTGCGCTGGGTCTCTCCGGCCCTTTCCTCTCCCGCTCCGCGAATTTCACACTTTTCCCTTTTAAAACACATGTTTGGTGTTGGGAGCATGTGGAGAAGGGGGGAGAAATAGCACCGTGGGGGGAAAAACCGGCCCTGCGGCTCRGGGAGCGCCTGGTTTACGGCACTCGGAGCGGTTTCGAGCGCTGTTTGGGTTCAGATTGACTAGAATTAGGGCCCGGCACGTTGGGGCTTGCGGCGGCTCCYGCGGCGCCGGCTCCGCCGCTCTCCTCCCGGCTCAGCCAGCGGGGCCGGATGCTCCCGGACATCCCAGGGCTCCCGAGCTCCGGCCCATCCCGGCGGATGGGGCCGCTCGCGGCATGGGAAGCAGCCGCCGGGAGGGAATTGGGGTGAAGGYGCCGAAGGGGCTGATGAGGGTGACGGGCGGGAGGAAGGAGCCGCATGAGCCCCGCTTGCCTCCTACTTCCAGCCCCTTTTCTTTCCTTTTTTCCCTCGCTCTCTCCAGCCACGATCCCGTTTCCAGCCCCGCACTTTGCAAAAATAAACTGGCTGCCTTTGAAGCCCCTCGATGGCGGCAGCTCCGCGCTCAGCTCACTTTCCTTTTTTTTTTTTTTTTTTTTTTCTTTTCCATGGGGAAAAAAGAAAAGGGGCATTTCTCTTTTTTCCTTTCCTTTTTTTTTTCTTTTTTTTTTTTCCCTCCCCCCAAAATAAATAAATGGGATGGCGGTGGCAGCCTGTGCTCGGGAGTGTGTGGAGCTGCTGGCAGAGGGCTTGGAGGCAGAGATTAGCAGAAAATCCATTGTTGCTCCTGCAGTCCTTTTCCTGGAGCGGGGGGAAAATAAGAGATCCCTGCAGCCACCCCCCTGGAAAAGCCCCTTGTATCCCCAAAACGATGGAGCAGCCGGGAAGCACCCCCATATCTTGGACATTCCCTGCTTTCCCACTGCAGCAAGTGGCAGCGTTGGAGCCAGGACCCCCGTGGCGGAGCCGGCGCTTTGCGCCCTGCCAAGGGGCCGCCAGCTGGGATTTTTTTCCATCGTTTTCCCCCGTTTTTTCCCCCATTTTTCCCCCCTGCAGACCCCGCCGTCATCTCCCCGCAGGACCCCACGCTGCTCATCGGCTCCTCGCTCACGGCCACGTGCACGGTGAGCGCCGGCTCGCGCTTGCGCGCCCAGGACCTGTACTGGACGCTCAACGGGCGCCGCCTGCCCGCGGCCACCTACGCGGCGCTGGGGGCCACCACGCTCAGCGTGGCCCTCGCCCACCTCAACGGCTCCAAGCAGCAGTCCGGGGACAACCTCGTGTGCCACAGCCGCGACGGCGGCATCCTGGCCGGCTCCTGCCTCTACGTCGGACGTACGTCGTGCCGCCGCTGCCGCCGCGCACGGCCCTGCTCGCTGCAGCTTTTGCACAGCCCCTTTTTGCAATTTGCACAGCCCTTTTTGCACTCTTGCCGTTTTTTTTTGTCTTTTGCACTTTTTTTGTGCTGTTGCGTTTTTTTCTGCATTTTTGAGTTTTCTGCCTTTTTGCACTTCTGCTTTTTTTTTTTTGCATTTCTGTGCAGTTTTTGCACTTTTGCAATTTCTCATGCTTTTTGCACTTTTGCAATTTCTCATGCTTTTTGTGCTCTGGCCCTGCTGGGGGGCAGCCCCACGCTGCGCCTGGCTCTGGGGTGGGTTATTCCCCGTCACGGGGCACGTGCGGAAGGGAGCGCCCGCCCCGGGGCAGCGGCAGCAGCACAATCACCGCCCACATTAACGCCGGGGGCGGCATTTTGGGGCAAAACGGGGCAGGTTGGGGCAGGGCGGCGCTGAGCTCCGCGCGGGGCCGGGTTCAGCCCCGCCGCTGCTCTGCCCTCCCAGTGCCTCCGGAGAAGCCGGTCAACATCTCCTGCTGGTCCAAGAACATGAAGGACCTGACGTGCACGTGGGCACCGGGCACCGAGGGGGAGACCTTCCTGCACACCAACTACACCCTCAAGTACAAGCTCAGGTGGGCTGTTGCGACGCTGCTCTTCCCGCCGCAATTCCCAGGTGTTGTCAATGCCCTGGGATTCCTGTGGTGCTGCCATGTGGCTGCGGGATTCCCACGGTGTCCCAGGTCCCTTGGTGCTGCTGAATGGTCAAGGTTCCCATGGGGTGGCTGGTGGCTCCTGGGGTGCCACTGCCWGGTTGCAGTTCCCATGGGATTCTTGGGGTGCTACTGCATGGCTGTGGTTCCCATGGGATTCCCAGGGTGTTGATGCATGACCATGGTTCCCATGGGATCCCRGGGTGCTGCTGCATGGCCGTRGCTTCCATGGGATCCCAAGGTGCTGAGGCATGACCATGGTTCGCATGGGATCCCGGGGTGCTGCTGCATGGCCGTGGTTCCCATGGGATCCCAGGGTGCTGATGCACAGGACGGATTCCCGCGCAGGTGGTACGGCCGTGACAACACTTGCCAGGAATACCACACAGCCGGGCCCTATTCCTGCCACATCCCCAAGGACCTGGCGCTCTTCACGCCCTACGAGATCTGGGTGGAGGCCTCCAACCGCCTGGGGGTGGCCGTGTCCGACGTGGTCATGCTGGACATCCTTGACGTGGGTGAGCGCGGGGACACCCCGACACCCACCCCGGGGGGACGCAGGGGCTGAGGGAGGACGGCGGGTCCCGGTGACCCCGTCCGCTCCCCGCAGTGACCACGGACCCGCCGCCCGACGTGCACGTGAGCCGCGTGGGCGACCTGGAGGACCAGCTGAGCGTGCGCTGGAGCTCGCCGCCCGCGCTCAAGGACTTCCTCTTCCAAGCCAAGTACCAGATCCAGTACCGCGTGGAGGACAGCTCCGAGTGGAAGGTGGCCTGAGGATGGAGTCGGGGGTGTCCCCGTGGGGTGTCCCYGCTCCCYGTGGGGTGACSCCGCTGCCCGGCCGCCCCTGCAGGTCGTGGACGACGTGGGCAACCAGACGTCGTGCCGCCTGGCCGGCCTGCGCCCCGGCACCGTCTACTTCGTGCAGGTGCGCTGCAACCCCTTCGGCATCTACGGCTCCAAGCGCGCCGGCATCTGGAGCGACTGGAGCAACCCCACGGCCGCCTCCACGCCGCGCAGCGGTGAGCGGCCCGCTGGGGACACCGGGAATGGTCCCGCTCCATTCTGCTCCATGTTGGGTGCTGGGGACATGGGGAAGGGATCCCACTCCATATCAGATGCTGGGGATGCAGGGAATGGGTCCCACTCCATCCTGCTCTGGCCCCATGTGCTGGGGACACCGGGAAGGGTCCCGCTCCATCCCCCTGCATGTCGGGTGCTGGGGACACTGGGAAGGGGGTCTTGTTCCATGAAGGGTGCTGCGGACATAGGGAAGGGGTCCTGCTCCATCCTACTGCATGTCAAGTGCTGGGGACACCAGGAAGGGGGTCTTGCTCCATCCTGCTGCATGTTGGGTGCTGGGGACACTGGGAAGGGGGTCTTGCTCCATGTTGGGTACTGGGGACACCGGGAAGGGTCCTGCTCTATCCCCCTGCATGTCGGGTGCTGGGGACACCGGAATGGTGTCCTGCTCCATCCTGCTGTATGTCGGGTGCTGAGGACACCGGGAAGGGGGTCTTGCTCCGTGTTGGGTGCTGGTGCCACCGGGCCGGGGTGCCACGGTGCCGTGCCCCGCAGAGCGCGCGGCGGGCGGCTGCGAGCCCAAGGGCGGCGAGCAGAACAGCACCCTGCGGCGCGAGCTCAAGCAGTTCTTCGGCTGGGTGAAGAAGCACGCGTACGGCTGCTCCAACCTCAGCATCAAGCTCTACGACCAGTGGCGCGTGTGGCTGCAGAAGTCGCACAAAGCACGGAACCAGGTAGGTAAGGACCCTTTTTGCTCTTGTTTCGCTGGGCGCCGGGGTGGGGACGGCGTCGGGGCGATGCTCGGGGGCGCACGGGGTGCCTGGGGTGATGGCACCCATGGGGGATGTTGGGATGGGTGACGCTGGCCCATGGGGACGGCCCTGGGTGGGATGCTCAGGTGGGGGTGATGCTGGGGGAGCAGGGTGCTCAGGGAAGGGGGTTGGGGTGAGGGCACCCAAGGGTGCTCTGCTGGGGGCGGTGGTGTTATGGCATGGTGCTTGGGGGCCGGGGCCAGCATGGGGTGTCACCAAGACCCCCATGCAGGGGATGCYCAGGGCGAGGGGGCTGTGGGGTGACGTGTGGGGAGCAGGGCAGCACCAGGGGTGACACTGGGCCTGGGGGCACCCCCCGAGGGCTGCTTGGGGCCAGGGCACCCAAGGGTGCCGGCTCCACGGCCTCCAAGCAGGGCCGTGCTCTCCTCGCAGGTGCTACCCGGAGATAAGTTGTAGCCCCTGCAGCGCCCCCAGGACGGCAGCGCCCGCCCGCAGCCCCCCGTGCCCCCCCTGGGGCGGCCAGCGGCTCCGTGGCCCCAGGGGGGCTGCTCGGGCACGGGGGGCACCGGGGGGGCCGCACTGCAGCAGCTCCCGGTGCCCGCGGGCGCGYGAGGGGGGTCCGGCCGCGGCGGCGGCCGCGGGGCTTCGCCCGGTGCCTGCGCTCGCCTTGATTCAAACCAGCCTCTCTCCATTTCTTTTTTTTTTTTTTTTTTGGTTACATTTCAGTCAATTAGGAACAGATTTGAGCTTAATGCCAATAAAACCGCTGTAACCCCCCCCGCCCGGGCCTGCATCAGCCGAGCGGGCGGCCAAGGGCTCCCCCCTCCCACACCCCCCAAGTCACCCCCCTTTTACTCAGCCGGTCCTGTGCTTATTGGGGGGGGGTCTCTATGGGGGCAGGAGCAGCGGGGCCCCCCGGGCACCCCCGTCCTGCCGGGGGGGCCGCGCGGGGCCCCGCTCCCCCGGGGCCGCCCATCACTCGGCTTCTTCCGAATCGTACTTGAGGTCCTGGAGAATTTCGCTGATTGCCTCCATGGTTTTAATTAGCCTAGGAGAGCGGATGGAAACTATAAATAAAGCGCATATGGAGCGTATTAGGCGGCCCGCGGCGCCTGCCCCGCGCTGTTTATGAAACACGCGGCCCCGGGGGGGCGGCCGGGCCCGCGGCACCCCCGGGCTCCCGGCAGCGCCGCCGGGGCCCGTCCGGCCCCTCCGGCCCCTTCCCAGGGGATGTCGAGGCGGGAGCTGATTCCCCCCCACCCAGGCCCCCTCGGTGGCTGTCGCGTCCCCCTCCGCTGTCACCTACTTGTGCTTGAGCTCCCGCACCTCCTGCTCGTGGGCGTCCACGCCGGGCTCGTCCTGCGCGCGCTGCCGGGCCAGCTGCAGCTGCGCCGTCTGCGGGGGCACAGCGGGACCCTGCCTCTGGCCCCAGCCCCTTGCCAGCACCCTGGTCACGGTCCCCATCCTGGTCACGGTCCCCACTGTGGCCTTGCTCCCCATTCTGCTCACAGTCCCCATCCTGGCCTTGCTCCCCATCCTGGTCACGGTCCCCATTGGGGTCTTGGTCCCCATCCTGGTCTCCAGGGCAGTCCCCAGGCTCCTCCTGGTCCCCACCCCACTTCCCAGGGCAGTCCCCATCCTGGTCACAGTCCCTGTTCTGGTTCCATTCCCTATCCCAGTCTCCAGGGCAGTCCCCATGCTGCTCCTGGTCCCCTTCCCTGTTCCCAGTCTGGTCATRGTCCCCATTCTGGTTCCATTCCCTATTCTAATCCCCATGGGATTTTCCATGCTGTTCCTGGTCCCCATCTCACTTCCCAGGGCGCTCCCCATCCCCCTCCTGGTCTCCATCCTAGCTCCATTCCCTCTCCCGCTCCCCAGGGCAGTTCCCATCCCGCTCCCGGTCTCCATCTCGGCTCTGTCCCCACTCCCGGTTCCCAAGGCGCTCCCCATCCCGGCTCCGTGCCCTGTCCYGGGGCGCGCGGCGGCTCTCACCAGCCGCAGCTTCTCCTGCTCGCGCTCCTGGACGCGGACGAGGTGCTGGGCGAGCTCGGGGCGGCCGAGCTGCTGGCGCAGGCGCCGCTCGATGCCCAGCACCTCGCGCGAGATGCCCCCGAAGGCGGCCGTGAGCTCGTGCACCAGCTGCCGGTAGCGCGGGAAGTCGTAGTGCGGCGCCGCGCGCAGGTACGCGCGGTGGCCCCTGGGGACACGGCACCGTCACCGCCGCCCCCGCGGCTGCACGGGGGTCCTGCCCCTCGCCGCGGCCTCCGCTCTTCCCTCCGGGGCTGCTTTTCCYGGGAAGGGCTCGGGAGCTGCCGGGCTGGCAGCCCTGGTGGCTTTACCTGCCTTGGCCCTCATGGGGGGGCTCTTTGGCCATGTGGGTTTTTTGGGGTGTTTTGGGTTAGTTTGCAAGCCCRCGGGCTCGGGATGTAGATCATGCCGTGGGGGCTGCTCAAATGGGACACAGGGGCGCCCCGAGCGGCTGCAACCTGGAGCCCGGCAGCTCCAATGGGATGGCCGGGGGCTGCGCTGCAGCGTGCACGGATGTGGCATGCAGGGACGGGGGCTGCAGGATGCATGGATGCAGGGCTGCAACATGCAGGGATGCAGGATATCCATGGAAGGGGATGCAGGATGTGGGATGTAGGGCTGYGGGGTGCCAGGCTGCGGGTTGCAGGATGTGGGATGCAGGCTGAGGGTTGCAGGGCTGCAGATTGCAGGGCTGTGGCATGCCCAGTTGTGGGATGCAAAATATGGGATGCGGGTTGCAGGGCTGTGAGATGCGGGGCTATGGGATGCCCAGCTGTGGGATGCAGGGTGTGGGATGCGGGTTGCAGGTTCCAGGATGTGGGGTGCGGGCTGTGGGTTGCAGGATGCGGGGTGCAGG